AGGTTCAGAACTAGCGGCGTGGAGTCAAACTCTGCAACGCCCCAGATCAACATGCGCGGACCAAGCCTCCCATGGCTGTGGGCAGGGAGCGCGGAGCCTGAATGCAAAAAGTCCAATGCTGATGTTGAGCTGCCAGACCGAATCATGCCAGACAGTGCCAAGATGCTGCCCAATTCTGCAGCGGACCTCAAAGGCGGCGCGGATCCCGTGGCTGCGTAATCCGAGGGCAACATCATGAGGCCACATCTGCTAAGACCGAAAGTTGAGGAACTTAACTCAGGTTGCACACAGTCATGCATCGGTGGCAGCGAGCCAGGCTGGGAAAGGTCCAAGGTCAACAAGATCAGACCGGGCGTTGCACTTCCAGAAGCCAGAGGCATCAGACCTGGCCGAGCCCAGTCCCTAACAGGCGGCGAGGACTCCGAAGTAGCGAGATCCGAGGTTGGCATCGGGGAGCCCAAGCAAGCGCAGCTTGTGACCAGCGAGGTAAAGCCCAGCCTTGCGATGGACCGGAGACTCGGCAAGGAATCAATGTGGGCCAGGTCCAGCACCGACAGCAGAAAGCCAGGCTGAGCCGTCTGAAAGACGGAGGCTGTTGAGCCCAGACGAGCGAAGCTGCGCGACAGAAGAGGGGGGCCTGAGCGCAGGGAGTCCATGGCCGAAGTGGGAGATCCGTAGCGTGCAAGGCCAAAGCAGGATAGCGTCGGCCCTGGGCAAGCAGCATCCCTTGCAGGTATCAAGCTGTCCATTGAGCTCGTGTCCAGCGATGGCAAGAGGATGCCAGGTCGTACCTTGCCGAAAATCAGAAACGCGGCCTCCAAGCATGCGCGACTCCTCGTGGGCAGCAGGGAACCAAAGTGTGCACAGTCAAGAAGCAAGAGGCTGAATCCCAACTGCCACTGCCCGAAGACTGGAAAAGACGGGCCAAACCGCTCTCCTGCGCCTCGCACAAAGATAGTCAGCTCCAAGTGCAAAGGATCCGGCACCAACAGGATCAAGCCCGGCCGAACAGCACCAAAGGCAAGCATAGGACTTTCAGGGCAGCTAAGGCTGCGGAGCAGCGGTGATAGGCCAGGCTTAGCACAGTCCAGGGCCAAGGATATTAACCCAGGCCTCTTGAAGCTCCTTGTTGGCGCTGAGAATCCAAAGGCCACGTAGTCAAGACTCGGCAGCGTCGAGCCCGTGCAGCAAACGCCGAACACTGATGGAGTGGGGCCCAAGCAGGTCCTGCTTTGCGAAGGCACAGTAGGCTCGAGGAAAAGGAGGTCAAAGATTAGTAAAGATACGCCGAGATGGGCAAAACTCTGGAGAGCCGGCGGTAAGCCCAGGTGAACAAAGTCCAATGCGAAGAGTCCGAGCTCGAATCGTGCCATTCCGGATGCAAGCACCATGGAGCCCGCACAACTGGAAGACCGGAGCAGCACCACGAAACCCAAGCATGCCATGTCAAACAGAGGCGCGGAGCTTCCTGAAGACATCCGCCCGAAAGCAGGCAGCGCAGGACCGAAACAGGAGGTGGCTTGCAATGAAAGAGGTGATGCCGGAAGACTGCTGTCGAGAAGAAGGAGGGTAAAGCCAGCTTGCAGGGAGCTCCTCAAAAATGGCAGGGCCTCAAGATGCGCATACTCTGGAACCAGGGTGGAAGGGTTCGGCCGAGTGCAGCTGGACACAAGAAAGGTGAGGTCGGGGCAGGAGAAGCCCCTGAGCAATGAAGGCAGGCCAAGCTCAGCGGAATCCGAGACAGGCATCGGGAGGCCTGACCGCGCCCAGTTCACTACCGGGAACGTTGGGGCCGTCCACAAGGAGCATCGTATTGATACCAAGAAGCCAACTGCAAAGGGATCCGGGGGTGATGAGGCGAGGCCCGAGCAAGCAGGGCTGCGAAGGGGCGGGGAGAAACCGGGAGTCACCATGTCCGGTGCAAAGGGTGGCGATCCTAAGGCGAACCTTCCAGGTGCTAACACTGACAGGCCCATCATGTTGATGCTCCTTGTTGAAGGGGGCGCTTCGGGCTGCAAGTGGTCCAGAATTGGCACAGGTAAGCTCAAGCAAGCTAGGCTTCGAACTGGCATCCCAAAGCCCAGATGTAAGCAGTCCAGAACGAGCATCGGCGGGTCGGAGCATGTCCTGCCATAAGGAAAAAACGCGCTGCCTGGCCAAGCGGTGCCACGGGCGGATGGGGTTGCCCCCAACTCGCACACTTCAGAGATGAGTAGCAGCGAGCCTGGCTCGGATGCACCAGAGGTTGGGGAGGTCGGTCCCGGGAAACCAAAGCTGTGCAAAGGCAACGTGCTCTCTGAACTAGGCAAGTCAAGGATGAGCAATGGTGTGCCTGACCTTGCCTGTCCGAAGGCCAAAGCGATGAAACCGAAATGCGCAGATGACCTGACAAGCAGCAGCGACCCGAGAGTCAAGAGATCTGCGATTGGCACCGCTGGTTCTGAACACGAGAGGCTCCGAATCGGAAGCGCGCTGCCGAACTGGACAAGATCAAGGACTGGCATTGGCGAATCTGGGTGGCAGGTGCTACTGGAGGGGGATGCCAAGTCTGATTGCGCGAGGCTGCGAATCGAAGACGTGAACTCAAAGTTGGTAAGGCCACGCGCTGAAGTGGGTGAGCCCAGTGTCAAGGAGTCTGGCACGGGCATTGACGAACCTGGCCTGCAAGGGCTCTGCACCAGCAGATTCGACTCCAAGCTTAGAAGGTCCAGGGCTGAGGCTGAGAAGTCTGTGCAGCAAGGGCTCTTCAACAACAGTGCAGCATCTAAGTAAGAAACGTCTGGCACAAACAGAAACAGGTCAAAGTGCAGGCGACTGCAGGCCGAAGACTGTGAGCCCAAACGGGCGAGGGACTGCAGGAACATGCTGAAGCCCGGATTCAAAAGGTCTAATGCAAGCAGCAAAGGCTCGAATCTGGAGCACTGGAAGGTGGAGATGGAAGGCCCCAAATGACCCGTCGATCGCGGCGGCAGTGCAGCGTCTGCTTCACAGTCATCCAAGGCAAACAAAGGCAAGTCTGGCCGGGAGGCCCCGAAGACGAGCATCGAGGCGCCTGGGTTTGAGAGACTTTGGGGCAACGGGGAGAGCTCGAGCCGCAGAGAGTCCAGGATTGACGGCGCAGATCCCACGTGTGAGAGACCCCTCACGGGTGGAGAAGAGCCTAGGATCGCCATATCCAGAGGAGACATGAAAGGGCCCATGCGGCAGAAAGTGAAGGCAAGGATAGCTGCATCCATCTTTGCAAGAGACTGCAGGGACAGCAGGCTTCCAAGATTCAGGAAGTCATAGGCCGGAGGACCCAGCTCCGGGCGAACAGCACTTTGAGCTGCCGATGAAAACTCGAGGTAAGCAAGATCAAGGACAGCCGGCAGCAGGCCTAGCCATGCCGCACCACACAGAGGCGTCGCAAGCGCCAGTTGGGCAGAGGTCCGCAGCGGCGAAGGCAGTCCAATCTGGGTGCCGTCCGACACTGGAGGCAGCATGTCAGAGCGAGCCAAGCTAGAAGCTGGGGAAGAAGCTCCGCACCACGCAACGGACCGCACTGACAGAAACATGCCCAGGTGCAGGAGATCTGGGGCGAACAGGGGCAAGTCAGAACAACCACACCCAAATGGAGGCATCAAGGGTTCAACACGTGCTGCGTCCTGGAGCGCCATCGGGGGCCCTGGGTGTGAGGAATCAAGTAATGGTGCGGACATGTCCAGCCGTATGCTGCCGGAAGCAAGTAGAATGAGTCCCAGCTTTCCCAAACCCCTCAAAATCAGTAACAAACCCGGCTGGCAAAAGTCAGACACCAACGATGGTAGGCCAAAGCGACCAAGGCTGAACACGAAGGGCTGGCTACCTTGGTGAGCAAAGGACCTCGCGAACACAACAAATCCAGGCCTCGCAGTGTCAGAAAGGGAAATCAGCGGTCCCAGGCGAACCATGTGGAAAGCCACAGATGCAAATCCGAGGCGACCAAACTCCCTGACCGAAGATGTCGACCCTACGTGTGAGAGGTCAAACGCGGGAGGCAGGGAGTCAGGACTAGATCTGGTCAGTGCTGGGACAGCAGAGCCGATCTGCCCAAAGGCCTGCGGGAGCGAGGAGCTGCCATAGTCGGAGAGGTCTAAGGCCAACAATCTGGGTTCAGATCGTCCGGCGGTCAGTGCTGACAACAACAGGCCAATCCTCCCAAAACTCCGGAGTGAGAGAGCCAAGTCCACATCGGAGAAATCCACCAGAGGCAAGAAAGTACCGATCTTGGATGATCCGCTGACAAGCAACATGGCCCCAAGCCAGGCGACACTTCTCAGCGGGAGCGAAATGGCCGTCTGCATCACGTCCAGATTCGGTAGCGGAAATTCTGAACGGAGTTGCCCGCAGGGTGAAGTCATTGATTCTGGTGTGGTGATGCTCTGCACCAGGGGTGAAAACCCTGGCTTCACGGAATCTGGCACAGGCATGGAAACGCCAGAACATGATGTGCCAAAGACCGACAAGGAAGACTCTGCGCAGCTCACAGCACGCAAAGGCAAGGGAGAGGCTATGCTGCCGCTGCTCGGCACAAGCACCAGTGCATCAAGTTGTCCATGGCTCCTGATCGAAAAAGGGCTATCCACAAGAGCAAAATCAACAATGAGAGGTGTCAGGCTCGTGCACGCCCATCCGGATACAAACAGCATCAGTTCAGGTCGTTGGAGCGCGTGGGGCAACAGCGAGAAGCCCGCATTGACACGGTCCGAGGTTGACACGAAAGGCCCAAAGCAAGCATTCCCAAAGGCCAACGTCATGGCTTCCAGCCTTGCAGAACTTTGCAGCACCATCGTAAAGCCGGGATGCAGGAAATCCAATGCAAGTGATGGCATGCCCATCCATCCGACACCCCACACTGACGGCAGAGGGTCACACCATGCCGTGCTTCGCGGAGACAACACAGGACCCAAATGCAGAAAGTCCAACACCGGCAGGGAGAAGTCAGACCGATTCAGACCAGAGATGAAAGCAGCTGGGCCGATTCAAGCACAGCTTCGCATTGAAGGAGGCAAGCCAGCCTGGACGAAGTCCGGCACCAGCAGCAGTGAACCCAGGCAGACCATCCCGTATGCTGGAAGTAGCGAGTCCAGCCAAACGCGGGATCTCATCGGCAAGGACACGCCAAAGGCCTCACCATCATACGAGAACGTTGACGATGCCATCCTGGCCATGCCGAACAATAGAAACGCAATGTCAGCTTGTGCAAAGGATCGAGCTGCCAATGTGAAGTCAATCTGATCAAAGTCAGATACTGGCACGGGCACCCCAGCTCGAGACAAGCTGAACGGCGACGCTGCCGCCCCCGGGCAAGCAAAGCTGCGCAAGGCCGACGGAAATCCATGACTTGCGAAGTCAAAGGCCGCCGGCAGCGATTCCGGGCAGCCTGTACCGAAAGCAGTCGGTGCTGCACCCGGGCTACCGGCGCTCTTCAGGGGCAACAGCGGCCCAAGTTGAACCAGGTCTAGAACCGATGTGGAGGGCTCGAAGCGACCACAACTGCAGAGGGGAAGCACGCTGCCGATTTGCGCCGGGCTACGCACCAACATCGTTGCTCCGGGATGCGTCCAGTCCATCGCAAGAATGGAGGCATCGAAGCCTACTCTTCTAAGTGGTACTGGGGAAAGGCCCAGGCAAGCAGCACCACGAGCAGGTAAAGGTGGGCCTGGGGAGGACATGTCCAGCACAACAGGTGGCGATCCAAGGCGCGACAGCCCGACCGCGGGCGATGTGCTTCCTAATACAGACATGCTGTGTGCAGATGGCAGCAAGCCCAGAGCAGCATGGTCCATCAGAGACGTGGATGAGCCTACCCGACTCATGCCAAACAGGAAGAAAGTTAGCCCCAAACGGCCGAGAGACTGCATCAGCAACAATAGGCCTGAAAACAGGAGGTCCGCCGCCGACATGGAGGCGCCGAACTTTGCCAGGCTGGAGGCCGGCATCACCAGGCCAAAGTAGCCGCAACTCTTCAAGAAGGCCGGAGGGCCCGGCAGCAAGAAGTCAGAGACGAGCATAAGGCTGTCAGATCGGTCCATCCCCCAGACAAGGAAGGAGAAGTCCACCCTGGAAGGAGCTCGTGCAGACGTTGCAAGGCCCAGAAGCACCCTGTCAAAAACCAGCAGCAGGATATCGAAGCGGGCGACCTGCAGAACAAACATGGCCGGCCCAAGTCGTCCCATCTGCTGCAACGACGATATTGGCCCAGGAGACATTTCATCAAAGATCGACATCAATGGACCGAAGCGCGCAGCCAAAGTGACAAACACCGCAAGTTCAAGACAGGCGACATGCTGCAAAGGTGAAGTAGACCCTGTCATGGAGAAGTCCGAAGCAGGAGGTGGCAACTCTGAGCATGACATGCCAGAGGCCAGCAGGGTCGACCCAGGCCGCACAGGACCATGTGGCAGCACAGCTGAGTCCAGATGTATGGGGTCCAAAGCTGGCAAGAGGATGCCGAGCCGCACGACTCCATATGCCAGGGCCGATGACTCTGACTGAGCAGGGCCCTGCAGTGGCATAGCGAAGCCAGGTTGCATGAAGTCTGGTACTGGAAGCAGCACACCAGGGCACATCAAGCCATAGACTGAAGGGGCAGCCTCCGATCGGGCAAAACCACGCGAGGGCGGGGATGGTGCCGTTTGCACAAAGTCAAGAGTCGGCGTCGGCGGCCCTGGGCATGCCAATCCAAAGGCCAGCGAGCTCAGGCCAGGTTGGCAGAGGCTGTGCAGGGCAAACGACAGGTCAAGATGCGCCGAGTCCAGAAGCGGAGCCAACAGTTCCAGTCGTGTCATGCCGTACACGGACACACCAAATCCAAGCTGCATAAAGCTCCTTAAGCTCGGCGCGCTGCCAGGTTGCAGGGGGTCTAAAACCAGCAGCGTCGGCCCAGGCCTCATAGAGCCATAGGCCGAGAGAAACACATCTGTTTGGACAGGCGTCTGTGAGGGAATCGCGGAGCCCGCAGACCCGGGATCCAGCGCGGGCATGAAGAGGCCAGGCAAGGATATACCGTAAACCGGCAGCAGCAGGCCAGTTCACGAAAGGGACTGCAGCAGCAACGACAATCCAGAATGTACAAGGTCAAGGGCCAGCAACAAAAGGTCCGACTGCGATAGGCCGTACAAAGAGGGAGTTGACTCCGAGCAGAAGCGATTCCGCAGTAGAAGCAGGGGGCCGAAGCCAACAAGGTCCGGAACAAACGAAAAAATGCCTGAGCGAGCCACACCGTAGACTGGCATGAAGGCCTCCGAGCGCATGGGGCTACGGAGTGCTGTCACGGAACCTGTTTGCACAAAGTCCGGTGCTGGAATCAGCAGGCCTGGTGCACTAACACCAGATGCGGACAAAGGGAATCCAGGTCAGACGAGTGACCTCAGCAGCAGGATTGCATCTACGTGTAAGAGGTCAGGCACGGAAGGTAGCAACCCCAACTTCGCGAAGCCAGACACAGGTGAAGTGAAACCAGGACGGAGGGATCCTTGCAGCAGAAGGGATGGATCAACGGATGCAGGGTCCGGCAGAGACAGGAGGAGTTCTGGGGTCGACATTCCGTATGCTAGCAAGATTAGGCCTGGCTGGGCAAGGCTCCGCAAGGATGATGCAAGGCCAACCGTTGCAAAGTCAAGTACCGCCGGTGAGGAGCCTGGCCTCACCAAGCCGTACGCCGGCAGGGATGAGCCGAGTTGGACGCAGCTGCGTGGGAGCATTGCTGGGCCAAAGGCGGTGGACTCTGGAGCCGAAGGAGTGGGTCCTAAACAACTCAAGCCAAAGGCAAGCAAGAAGAGGCCCAAACGCGCGAAACTCCGCGCCGAAGGCATTGGCTCCAAATTCGACAAGTCGAGAGGAGGAGGCGACAGCTCTGATCTGGACAAGCCGTAGGCCGACATGACGAAGCCCGGACATAAAAAGCCCTTCAACAACGACCCAAAGTCCAGGTTGATAAAGTCCAAGGCAGGCAGGAAGAGTCCAAGCTGGGAAACGCCGTAGGTGAACAGCAAGACCTCCAAGTGCGCAAGAGTTCTTGACGGCATCGACAAGCCGGGACTTATGAAGCCTGGGATCGGCATCAAGCTCCCCAGGCAAGACAAGCCATAGGCCAGCAAACTTGAGCCCGTTTATGATGGACTCCGCAGAGGCGTCAGAAGGTCCAAGTGGATGAGATCCAGCCCTGGCAACGAAAAGTCGAGGCAAGCCATGCTGTAGGCTGAAGGTGCCGGGCCGAGGTGTGCAGAGCCTCGAAGAAAGAGCGAGCTCCTGAGGTACACATGGTCTGGTGTTGGCAGAAACTCCTCTGATCTGCTTGCCCCATATACTGACGATGTGAACCCCGAGCAGACGGGCGTGTGCACGAGAAGCAAGGAGCCGGGCTGCGCAGAGTCCAAGACAGAAAGGGAGAAGTCCGGTCGCAGCAAGCCAGATACGAGGAGCGGCGAGCCAAGGCATGCAAGAGATCTCAAAGTGGATGAGGAGTCAGAACATGCCGGGTCAGGCGTCAGCAGCAGCAGCCCTGTGCAACACACCCCATATGGAGGCATGGAGGCTTCAAGCCGTGTATGAGACTGCAGCGACGTCAACGGGCCAGGTGCCATGAAGTCCAAGGCTAGCAGCAAAGCTTCCGGCTTCATGACTCCAGAGGCAAACGACAGCGGCCCGGGACGACAGAAGCCATGCGGCAGTGGCGGCAAATCTGCGTTGACAGAGTCTGAGGCCAGCAGCGAGGATCCTGACCAAGCAATGCCCCAGGCCGGAGCCGGCGCTCCCAGGCGCGCAGGAGACTGAGGCAACGATGAAGAAGCGGTGTTGATGGAATCAAGCACGGAAGGCGGAAGCCCTGGACAGGCTAGACCGTAGGCCAACAGGCTTGAGCCCAAGCGTGCGAAAGCGTGTAGTAACGGCGTGGGATCGAGGGAACAAAAGTCTGACATGGATGGACTGAGGCCTGGCTGCGACACCCCGAAGGCCAGTGAGATTGGGTCAGGCCGTAAAGGGCTTCGCAGTGTTGGTGGGCTGTCCACCTCCAGGAAGTCCGGCACAAACCTCACAATGACACGAAGCACAATTGCCGGGCCAAGGGGCTGTAAAAATCTGCAAAAGCTGAAATAAGTGTGTACGATCCTTTAAGTGCCCTGCAGCAGCGATCCAGGACTGGTCAGGCCGTAGGCGAACAGCGCCAGATCAGAGCAGCCAGAAGATCGCAGCGGTGGCAGCGGCCTCAGATATTGTACTCCAGCAGCCCAGGCACAAGAGCATCAGAAGCATCACAGGGTGATACATAAAACATGTGCTACGGTATGTGCTACGCCATGTGTGGAGTGAATCAACACCATCTCAAAGCCAAGCAGCCCCAAGTGGACAAGATCCGTGGCTGGCAGTAGCGGACCAAGCTGCAGGCACCCAAAGGTGAGCAGCAGCGGATCTGGACCTGCGTCACACCCTTCTACTCCCTACGGTAGCTAGTCTTCCTCTCCGATGTCTCCACAACTTGCTGAGGCTTTGGCGGACAAGGCTACGGAGTGGCATCGGAGAGTCGGGACTCACAAAGTCCGAAGTCAGAAAGGTGGGTCCCATGCAAGCCTCTCAGTGTAACGAGGCAAAGCAAAGCAAAAATCAGCTCCATGGGAAGCAACTATGCTCTCGAAAGCATTGCGGTTTCTCGGAGTCGCACCAGGCCAGAGGCCAAGGTCGATGATTCCAGGCGCATGGAGCTCCCTCGGATGGGGCACGCTTCGGAAGAGGCTCCGCGAGAGGCTCAGATGGTTAAGCCAGTTAAGCCAGTTAAGCCTGTCTCTGCCAACAAGCCAAGGCTCGTGGCAGCAGACTTGGACCCAGGTGCACAAAGTCCAGCGCCAACGGTAGCGAGCCCGGACGTGACCTTGAGTGCTTGGGATTGGCATGATCACGTGGCAAGCAATCCATACACGGCGCCCAAATTCAGCTGTCTGAGTTGCAGGCATACCGTATGCCAGGGGGGTGGAGCCGGGCTGGCAAGAGCCATGAAGCACCTCAGTGTATCTCAGTGTCGAGGAGCCGAGGCTCAATGCAAAACCTTTGGTTTCTCCTGAGCCCTGTGAAGATTTCATTAAGCACTGCTGTGAGGCACCGAAATTGGCCCAGTGTTCGCGAAGTCCGAGGTCGACGGTGGTGCCCCGAGCCAAGCCAGCCCGTACACCAAGGCCGGAGAACCTGAGGATGTGGGGATCCCTATCTTTGCCTGTATACCACTCTCGAAACCATCTAAGGCTTCTGTGGTTTGTGTACTCCCAATGTGCAGGCTAAACTCTTGCTTTGCAAGGCACCTGGTTGGCAGAGACCTCTCGGAAGCAGCGGAGCTCCGAGGCTGAGGAGGTCCAGCACTACTGGGAAGGCATCCGTCTGGCTCATGCCGAAGACTGGTGGAAACAGGCCCGACCGCGCAAAAGCATGCCTCAGCTGGATCAGCATCTGAGTCTGAACAGACTCAGGACTCAGACTGCATGCCGAAGGATGGAATGCTTGCTTGAACCAGAAACCTTTTTCTTCACTGATGGTGGTTGTCTGGATCGCAGCCGGCAACTGATGATGCGACCCAAGTGGGAAAAAACAGCTGCCGGTCTGAGCTAGACGGCTGGTAGGTCTTAAGCTAGCAGCTTGCAAAACCCTAGTGGTGACACTTGCAAGTGCAATGCAGACACTATCACTTTGCAGCAGAGCAAAATCGCCTTTGGCACCCGCTCTGCTGTGTCTACAGGGTGTTTGCGTGGCAGGCAAACCATTTTTCCACGGATTTGAAGGGATGGAAAGCCACAACATCAGGGTCCCTGCAGGACTCCCAATGTCGAGGCGGGTCGCAATGGCGCTCTTGGAGGAGGTCATAGAGGTTCACTCGGTCAATGGTCTTGTTGGCCTTCCTCTTCAGGCACTGGTCGCACCAGAGATCCTCTCCCCAATTGCAGTCGCCGCTGCACAAGTCGATGAAATAGTAGTAGCAGGTCTCAAACAGACCCCAAAGAGCAAGCACTGCATTTTGAGAGAAGACTTCCAGCGGCCCGTGCATGCCGAACTTGCAGTTGTTGAAGTAAACCTAAGTCTGAAAAACTCTCGAAAAAAGGAGAGTGCGCAAAGTCAGGAAGGGCAAGGAGTCGAGAGGAGTCGCTGCCGCATTCAAAGTCGAGTACTTCGAGTGCTGCGAACAATCGGAACCTTTTTGCTACGTTCCATTGGTTCAGCACAGCGCGTACTCGGCGTACTCTACAACAGCGAGGGTCTCCCTCCTCCTACGTTCTGCCTACGTTACAATAAAATGGTGACGCAAGGGACACAACTCCAACTGCTCCTCCTACTCTGGCTTCGGCTACTGCGCGCATGGTAGTTGGCAAGAGCGAGCTACCCAACGTCTGAGGAAGGGACACCTCTGCCGTCGAAGCCAGACGCCCTGTCGTCGTACTTGACGAGCAAAGGTTGAAGCCGAGCGAAGAGAAAAACTGTGTCAGCATCTGCTTTGATGACATAGTTATAGTTGAGGAAGTCGCCATCAGCGAAGAGTTGTTTCCAGAAGGCAGCGAAGATCCTGAGGTTCAGAGCCGTTTTGAACTCCCCGCCCGTCTCACACATCTGCGAGGTAGAAACCTTCTTGGTTATGAGCCCCTCCGTGAGAACGATCTCTTGGTTGCTGTACACAGCAAAACCTGTGCACCCGAAAATGCCCAATCGCTGCTCGTACTGCCGGGTGATCAGCTCCATTTCGTAGGAGTATGCCCTCATCCTTGGCGAAGACCGCACGGATCGGTGTGCACGCAACCCTGGCTGGGGCCTACAAGTTGCTTACACAGACTTACACAGTGCCAACTTGCCAACAGGATTTTCCGAGCGGCAGCGTTGTGCAGTAGCAGCTGCCCGGGCTGGCCGGACGTGGACTGGGAGGCTTTGGCATCCGGAAGACCTGTTCCTCGCGCTTCAGGAACTTCAGGGCATTTCAGCTCTGCATTGCCTGAAGCTCTCGGACCTTTGGACCTTCGTACTCGCATGATCTCATGTCTAGTGCAATGTGCAATGTTCCACAACATCCGTTCTTGGAATTTCTGGTCTCCCAAGCACCTCGTCTTGTGGCCACAAGGCCTGGCTATGTGGAGTCCGACAGCCGCAAGGGAGGCCTTGCCGTAGGGCCGTAGGAAACCAAGGCACAAGTTAGCAGCACAAGTCGACGATTCGATGTTTCGATCGATTTGGGGTGGCAATTGAAGTTTTGGGAAGCTGCCTGCGATGGTCTCCGCCTTGCTTACCAGCTTCACTTTCTCGTTCGGCTGTAGCATCTTCATGAAGCACACATCTGACAGCCCAGCCACGTTCCTGGGTGTGCAGCAGTCACTGGACCATCTTGAATCGCACCCCCTTATCTTGAATCGCACCCCCTTTCACGGACTGACTAAACTGGCTTTCTGACAGAGGCTCCGCACAGCTCCCCAAGAGAATACACTGCAGCCTTCTGTCGAAGTGCACTTCTCCTGACACTTGCTGGCCGATGTGATGCCTGCTCAGAGCACAACATAGAGTGTGACCACTGTCTGACTGTCTGAAGGTCCAGTGGCCCATGGCTCTTTAGCACGTCAAAGCTGTGATGCTCACTGATCCTGACTTCAGGTGCAGGTGCATCGGGGCTCCCGATTGCTGTTGCCATTGAAGTTGACTCACAAGCCATCCGCCGGCCCGTACCCGATCCCTCAAACCGACCCCCATTCTTTACCCTTAAGCCCTAAGCCATTTCTCAGATCCATTTCAGCCAGGGGATTGAAGGTTGTGGGTTTTGACACGCACCGCCCTTCACTCTGGCAACCCCTCAGCGCCACAAGAACACTGTGGAGGGGAGGAGGGGAGCCAACGGAGCTCATGAACTTGACCAAAATGACCCCGCCCCACCTTTAACCCTAGACCCTAAACCCTCCGTAACCCAGCACCTCCCACCGGAGTGAAGGCGCTCTCCGTCATGGCATCGGTGTGCATCATAGGGGGCGGACAAGTCCGAAAGTCCTGGGGCAAAACGCCGAAGTTGATTCCCTACAGGAAACCCTACAACAGATAAAACCAAGGCTGCGAAACCAAACTATGAACAACACGTGTCTCAATTGACAGAAGACAGACCAGCTCGGGACGGGAACACCTTCGGAACGGAAATCTGAGTCATCTGGTGGTGGAGTCTCGAGGATCTCGAAAACAAAACCCTTTGAGCTTGCAACGCGGTGCCTGGCCACGCCGACAGCAGGGCAACGCAGCGATGAGGCCCTGCTTCTCCGTGAAGACTGGGGCTCCCGAGACTCTCTTCAAGAAGCAGACGTCAGACAGACCTGGTAAGTGTTGCTTCTCTTTGTTTTTTAGGGATAACTATACAAGTGATGCTCTGGGCAGTTCAGGTCTTCAAGCAGCCAGGACACCCTCGACACCACGGACGGCTCCCCACACGCTGGCATCACACTCACTCTCGGTGCAAATCTTCTGGCAGTGGCCTGCAGTTGGTACCTTGGCATTACCAAGGCGGGCTAGCAATCTGAAGAGCAAGCTGCAGAGCACTCTGAAGAGGGACTATTGGAGAAGAACAGCCTAAGAGTGACTCAGACCACATTGACATGTTCATTGTCACTACATTGCCTGAGCGATCCTGAGCGCTCCCCAAATTCCCCCAATTAAGGCCACGCGAGGAAAGGCGCATCTGGGACGACGTTCACAATGGCGCCCATGTTCATGTCCCGATTTAGTAGCTGCGCGGGGCAGGCCTTGACCTGCTGCCACTTCAGGAGCTCCACCCTCGGCTCAATGACGTGCCAAACAGCAAATCTGAACTGACAAAAAGTATAAATTCTAAATCGCCGCACCCTGCGACTGCCACCACGAACATGCGACTCATGCAAGAAAGTGGCATCGCGTCCCTGCGGGAGTCAAAATCCCCGCCCGAGTCTTGGGAAGGCGGAGTGAACGACTCCTCGTAGTTTCGCTCCGGGGCTTCGGGACGTTCCACGGGCCTTCGGGTTCTTGCGGCGGTGGTCGCCGGTGGTGCTTGGTGGGTAGTAGCTGCTTGGGTGGTGGTTCTGGGCGGTGGTGGTGGTGGTGGTGGTGGTGGTGGGGGTGGTGGCGCACGCGTTGTGCTGGTGGTTCTGGGCGCCACCGTTCGTTCTACGGGTGGCTCGGTGGCGAGAGCAGAAGTTGTTTCTGCTTGCGTGTCGAGCCGTGGCTGCCGGCCCTCCTGGGATTGGTCGACAGGCATGCCTGTGTCGCCGTGGCCATCGCCTTCCTGTACGTTCTGCCCGAAGCCATCCCCAAGATCAGCTTCGTCATCATGGAAATCGTAGAAACCCTGGTGGTTGGCCTCTTGGCCACTTACACAGAGCGTCTCGAAGTCATGGCAGCAAGTGTCGGTCTCCCGACAGGATGGCACGCACTGACCTCGGTGCGATGACATTCCAGAGACGAATCTGCGCTCTTTCATTAAAAAAAACATCGGATTCGGATTGCTAATTGTCGAGATGTCGTTAAAGACCAAACGGCCAAAACTCTCCGATCCTCTAAGCCTCTAAGCTAATGTGCGCCCCACGGGCCTCTTAGCCGAGTTGCAGAGGTTTGCACAGTTGGCAAGGCCGGCGCAGCCCAGCGTATCGCTGCCGCAGCCCAAGGACTGGCAAGAGCCCTGCGAAGCCTGCACATGGAGCTCCTGGGCGCGTCGCCGCGGTTTAGGGCCTTTTAGGGCCTTTTAGGGCCTTTTAGGGCCTTTTAGGGCCTTTTAGGGCCTTTTAGGGCCGTTTAGGGCCTTTTAGGGCCTTTTAGGGCCTTTTAGGGCCTTTTAGGGTTTTAAATCAAGTGTACTCTTTTTGCTTGTTCTACATGTACCAGCTACCAAATCATGGGGATCCAAAGCTTGTGGGCCTGCGGCGCCTGTTGCATGACTAGAGTGTGAGACGCCTTTCAGCCTCAACAGCCCTGTAGAATCCTAGTATGCATGCAAGCTGCCTCAGGCTTGTCTTGCCCTCTGGCTGCACACACTTCCTGATAGTCAGGGCAGCAGTCATCGAAGTACGTGCATCCATTGTTGCCTCGGCAAGTGCACACAAAAGCTGTGCCCGAAAGATGTGTACATCACGCGCGAGGGCTGTCATGCCAAGGCAACTGAGCTGCACTGGCAGCTGCCGACGTAGTTGTCATTGTCGCAGCCCATCATTTGGCAAGAGCCCGAGCCGGACCAAAGGGCGACCCGGAACTTTTTCCTTGAGCTCGGTCGCTTGTCATTGTGGAAAGAAAAGCTCCCCGCTGCCAAGAGGGTCACTAGCAAAGCGAAGCTGAGACCACCCAGCACGACTCCAAGACCAAAGCGCCGTCTGGGAGTCAGCACGAGGTCAGCTAAGCTGGTCCTTGAAAAGAAGTGAAGCCTAGACACTTAGTCGGCTTTGTTCAGTGGCTCTGTGTCATATGCACGAGTAGTAGCTTAGCGCCCTGCCTCACAGGTGGTCGGAGGAATGCTGTAGATTCTGCGGGTTCGGCATAGTCGGCATAGTCCTCATCATCCGCCGCCTCTTCCACCATCCCTTCCATTTCCAAGACCGGCATGGCTATGGCCAAACAGGTGTTTGAGGGCGGCTTCCTGGGCCGTGCCCGAATGGGCCAGTATTCGGAGAAAACTTACATTTGATGCGCCCTAATGAGAGATAAGAGGAGCATGTTCATGTTGTCCCTGAGCCACAGAATGCGAAACAAATGCAACACAATGGGACCCATGGACTGAGTGTCCTGAACTGACTTGTCATGATGTGCAATGACTGCTGACTGCCACGTTGACTTGCTTCCGTAGGGCCCTGGCAATGAAAGGGGCGGCCCCATGTGGATCAGGTCCAAAATCGCCAGGAAGAGACCTGGCCTGGTCGCACCCCATGCCGATAGCAAGGGCTCTGGGCATAGAAAACTGTGCAGCAGCAAAGAGACGTCCATGTGAGCGAGGTCCAGGGGTGGTGGCGAAGGCCCTGAATGGCTCAATCCATAAGCAGGCAAAGTGGAGTCAACGCAAGCATGAGTACGTGCCAGCAGCAGGGACCCAGTGTGTGCAAGGTCCAGCACAGAAGGTGGCAACCCGGGTCGTGTCATGCCATACACAAGCAGGATCAGCTCTGGCCGGAAAGGGGCGTGTAAGGGCGACAGGAGCTCTGCGCTGGTGAAGTCAGGGGCAGACAATGTGCTGCCGGAACACATACAGCCATAGGCGGGCAGAGCAGCTCCGAGACGCATGGAGCTTCGCAGCGGCAGTGTCGGTCCTGGGCTGACATGGTCGAGTGGCGGCGGCGTTGCACCCAGGCGCTGCACACCGTACGCGAAGGCAAACACATCCGAGCAGGCAAAGGACTTGAAGAGCAGGCTTGGCTCAATCTGTGCAGGCTCCAGCGCTGGCAAGAGGGACTCTGGCTTCGACGAACCCCATACAAGTGTGAAGGGACCAATCCTCAAGGATGTCCGCAGCGACATGCTCAAGCCCAGATTCAGAAGGTCTGGGATCAGCAGTGACAAGCCTAGCCGGGAAATGCCATATGAAGACATCAGGAAGCCAAAGCAGACAGGGCCATGAAGCATCGTTGGCGACTCCATTTGCGCTGGGTCCAGCAGCAGCAGAGGAGTCCCTGGACAAGAGATACCATAGGCTGGAAGCAGCAACTCCATGTGTGCGAGGCTTCGGGGCAACATCATGGACCCCAGACATAGATAGTCCAAAGCCGGCATGCTGAAGCCAAGTCGCAGCAAGCCGAACAGTAATGGTGTCGGTTCAGTGTGAACAAATGATCTAGGAAGCAGCAGTGGTCCAGGATCGGTGAGGTCCAAGGCCGGCAGTGGCGAGCCTGGCCTTGTCAGGCCATAGGCTAGCAGCAACAAGTCCGCTCGTAGATGCCCTTGCAAGGACAGGAGGCTGCCTAGGTGCATGAAGTCTGGGACGAACATGGTCATGCCTGAGCAGGTCAAGCCGTAAGCCGAGATGCTGGCATCGGTTCGAGCGAAGCCCTGCAAGGGCAGGCTTGCGCCGCAGTGGATAAAGTCGGGGACAGACAGCAAAACTTCTGGACTGGATATTCCGGAGGCGAAGAGTGGCGGTCCGGATCTTGCAAGGCTGTGGAGGGATGATGAGAATCCAAAAGTCGCAGGGGCCAGCAGAGGAAGAGGGAGGCCAGCGCGAGCAACCCCATAGGGAAGCAGCAACGGCTCCGATCAAGCAAGGCTGTGTGGCAGTGGTGGGACTTCCAAGTGGGCAAGGTCCAGTGTCAAAGGTGGCGAACCTGGCCTGCACAATCCATACACAAACAAGAAAAGCCCAAGCCGAACCAAGCTGTGTGAGAGCGCCGAAAGCCCTGTCACCGCGAGATCCAGGGCGAACGGACTCGCGTCCAGTTTTGATAGCCCAAAAGCAGGCGATGTCAGGCCGACTTGAACAAGACTTCGTGGCGAGGGCATCAGACCCATAGACACAAGATCAGGGACCAACAAAGGCAGCTCAAGCTTCGAAAGTCCAAACACGAAAAGGCATAGGCCCAGACAAGCGTAGCCGTGTGGAGGTAGCGCTGGCTCCACGACAGAAAGGTCCAAGGCCGACAACGAGACCTCTGAGCGCGACACCCCAAACACGGACAAGGTCGACTCGGTCCGGGCAAGTCCTCGCAGGAACAACAGGACTCCCAGAGAGATGCTGTCCGGCGCCAAGAGAGAGAGTTCCGAGCAAGACATTCCATACACAGGTGGCGTGGGATCAGGTTGGACGAGAGCCTGCAGTGGCACCACAGGGTCCAAGTGCGCAGAGTCGAGGACAGGTAGCAGCACGTCCAAGCAGCACATGCCGAAGACAAGCGGCATGGGCCCTGTTCGTAGGTGGCTTTGGACGAACAGAAAAAAGCCCGGGTGTAAGGAGTCCAAAGCCGGCAGCGGCAGCTCCAAGCAGGACAAGCCAAAGAGGGGCGGCAGCAAACCTGGCTACGCATGGTATCGCAACGGCGATGGAGAGCCAAGATGCAGAGGATCAGGCACCAGGGGTGGGAGGCCTAGGACCGTCAGGCCATACACAAAAGGAACGGGATCAGATCAACTGTGCATTTTTAGCAGAGGCACCAAGCCGAGATGCAAGAAGTCTGGAATCAGCAGCAAGAGGCCCGAGCAAGTTAAGCCATAGGCTGGAAGGGCAAAACCTGTTTGGCAATATGCACGTGGCGACGTGAAGCTTCCACAGATGCCAAAATCAGGAGCCGGCAAAGGCGAGTCTGATCGAGTCATGCCAGACACAAGCAGCAGACTACCAAGTCATGCCGTGCTGCGGAGGAAAAGCATAAGGCCAGGCATGGTGAGATCGAGAGCCGGGAGCGGAAACCCCAAGTTGCACAAGCCATACGCAAGCAAGGCAAGCTCGGTTCGCGTGAAGGTTTGAAAAAGCATCAGGAGTTCTGGGTGCATGTGGCTCGGGACCAACATAGGCGTTCCCAAGCAGCTCAGGCCATAGACCAGCAAAGCGCTTCCGTGTCGAGCGAGGCCTTGAAGCAAAAGTGGCAAGCCCACGTGCACAAGGTCGGTGGTCGGCGATGTGGAATCAGGTCTTGCCACCCCGAACACAGACAACGACACTTCTGTCCTCATGTGGCCATGGAGAAGCAACAGAGACGCTGTGTTCGTCCAGTCTGAAACAAAAAGGGCAAGGCCTGTCCTAGCCAAGCCGTAGGCCGGTGACAAGCTGTCTGTTCATGCAAAAGTTTGTAAAGGCAGTGCTGGCTCAAGCGCAGCAAATTCCGATGAAAGCAGTAGAAGCTCCAGACGAGATAGGCCGGAAGGAGGCAATGAGAGGCCTGACCACACAAGACCTCGGGTGAGCAGAAGAAGGCCGAAATGAGCATGCTCCAGAATTGGAGGACTCAAATCCGGCTGCGTGATTCCGTATGTCAGAGGCGACAGCCCAAGCTGGTGGAGGCCTCTCAAAGACATGGAGAGGCCGAAGCAGCCAAAGTCTAAGGTCGACGAGAACGCCCCCAAGTTCGTGCAACCATAAGTCGGCAGCAAAACACCTGGGTAAGCAGGAGACTGAGGAGGCAAGGCGAGTCCGAAGTGGAGGTGGTCCGAGGTCGACAAGGACAGGTCCGACTGCGTGAGGCCGTAGGCGAGTGGAGTGCTCCCGAAACGAGCAGATGTGCGTGGAAGCGAAGACGGGCCCGAGTGGACAAAATCCGGTGCCAAAGGGAAGGGGCCAGCCCTCTCAATCCCGTAGACCAACATTGCCGAATCAAGCTGGCAAAGGGACCGAAGAAACATGGAGAGCTCCGAATGGCAGGGGTCCAATACAGGCAACAGAAACCCGAGTTTGGTCAGGCCGTATGTTGGCAAGAAGCTTCCCAAACGGGCAAGCATTTGCAAAAACAGGGGCAAACCAAACGCAGCAGATTCTGGTAAGAACAAGCTCAGGCCCGGCTTCGACATTCCGTAGAGGGGCGCGATGCTTCCGAGTCGGAGCATGGCTCGTGCTGAAGGCATGAGGGCAAGGTGCACGAGGTCAGGCACAAGCATTGAAGGACCTGAGCGCAACATGCCGTAGGTAAGCAGCGACGGCTCGCACCACAAGAAGTTTCTGGGTGACGGCATGGTATCCAGATGTGCAAGGTCAAGGGCTGACGGCGGCACCTCCGGCCGAAGCATGCCATAAACGGGCAAAGGAGACCCTAGCCACATGAAAGTTCGTGATAAAGGCAAGGACTCTGCGCTGGCATGGTCCAGGGCCAGAAACGAAGACTCCAAACATGCCAAGCCATACGCGGACGGGAACGAGCCGGTTCAAGCATAGCCTTGAGGCAGCAGAATGGAGCCCAAGTGAATGTGATCCAGCGCCAAGGGGCCTGGTCCAAGCCTTGTCATGCCATACACGAGCAGTGAACTCCCCGAACACAGAAAGCTGTGCAAGGCCGTAGCCGGACCTGTCTGCACGAGGTCTAATATGGATGGCAAAGGCTCAGGACAAGCCACGCTGTAAATGGGCATCGACAGCCCGGGATACGTGGAGCTTCGGGCCAACGTAGGAGAGTCCAAGTGCATGAAGTCCGGCGCCAACAACATCAGGTCTGGCATGCACATCCCATATACGGGCAAAAAGGGCCCCGATCATGTAAAGGCGTGCAGTGTCAGCATAAAATCAGGAATGGAGTGATCGAGAATCAACGACATAGAGCCAGGTCTTGTCATGCCATAAGCCAAAAGGAAGGCATCGGGGCACGCAAAGGTCCTGGCAGGTGCAGTGCTGCCTGCTTGGACAAAATCCAAAGCAGGAGGGAGTAGTTCTGGGCGAGAGAGCCCGTAAGTGGAAGTCGACAGGTCTAAGCAAACAGGGCCCTGCATGGGCAGATTAGAGTCTGGAGTGCAGCAGTCTAGCAACAGTGATGATGACCCCGGACAGCTCATTCCAAACGCCAGCGATGCAGAACCGGTGCAAACAAGAGTTTGTGGCAATAGGGTGCTGCCCACGGTCGCCCAGTCAGCTACGAACGTTGGAGCACCAAGGCAGGCCAGGCCAAAGGCAAGCAGCAAGCTGCCTGCGCACGCAAAGGTTCGCAAGGACGTGATGAGATCAAGCTTCACAAAGTCCAGCACGAGCAAAGACGCTTCCGGCTGGCCAATGCCATAGGCAAAGGGCATGCTGCCTGTTCTCATGTAGCCATGCAGGGGCAGTGAAAGACCGGGGTGCACGGAGTTCGGGGCAAGCAACAGAGCGTCCGGCCAATTGAGACCATAGGCCAGGAGCGTGGAGCCTGGACGCATGTGGGCCCTTGAAGAAAGCAGAAAACCCATTTGCGCGAAGTCCAAAGCCAGGGGTGGTGGTCCGGTCCTGGCCAAGCCATAGGGGGGCAAAATCGAGTCTGGTTGAAAGGGGCTCTGGACCAGCAGGGGAGGGCCGGTCTTGACCAGGTCAACGACCAAAGGAGTCGACCCCAGCTGAGCCATCCCAAAAATTGAAAGCAAAGAGCCTGGACGAGCATGAGCTTGCACAGGCATGAAGGGGTCGGAATTAATAAGATCCGAAGTCAGCGGAAAAGGTTCAAGGCAAGCCATGCCATAAACAAAAGTGGATGCCCCTAACCGCGCATTGTACCGCAAAGGCGGCGACGTGCCAAGGTGCAGGAAATCGGGGATTGGAAGCATCAATCCTAAGCACGTCATTCCAGAGACCAACGGCGTGAACTCTAGTCACGCAGGGGATTGCAAGAGCATCGTGCTGTCCAGCGTCACAGGGTCAAGAAGTGGCATGGAAACGTCGGGCTTGCTGAGCCCGAAGGCAGGTGGCACAAGGCCCAGGCAAGCGAAGCTGTGAGGTAGCAGAGTGCTGTCAAATGTCATATGGTCCGGCATGGGCATTGGGGTTCCCGGACGAACGCAGTTGGAGGTAGGCAGCAAGAAACCGAGGTGGATGAGGCCTTGTATAGACACCGTGGGCCCCAACTGCAAATGGTCCAAGACCAACAACAATGAGCCCAAACGCACCATGCCGGAAGCTGGTAGCAGAGGTTCGGTCCTTGCGAAGCCCTGCGACAACAGCGCCAGCCCTGAGCGCACGCAATCCAACGCCAAGGGCAACAACTCCAAACACGACACACCAAAAGCAAACGAGATGCTCTCGAAGCGGAAGAGCCCCTGCGAAAGCAAAGTTGGTCCGGAATGGCCAGTATCTGTCGTGGACAAGGGGCTGTCTAGCCGCTGGACACCATAAGGCAGCGGACAAGATCCGGACTTGCTGGAGCCCTGCAAAAGCAGCAGGAGCCCGACGCTGCAAGAATCTGTGGCCAGCAACAGTGGGCCCAAACACGTCATGCCAGAAGCCAGGAGTGCAGGGCCCAGTTGTACATGGCTTTGGACAAACAGCAAGAGCCCCGTGTGCAAGTGGTCTAAAGCCAGCAAGGTGAGGCCCGAGTTCGACACCCCGTAGGCTGATAGGGATGGACCAGTCCAGAAGACGCTTTGTAGTAGAATCGCAGAGCCAGTGTGGATGAAGTCGAGTGCCGGAATGCTTGGCCCAAGCCAGCACAGTCCATAAATCAAGAGGCTTGGCCCCATCCGATAATGGCTTTGCAGCAGCAGGAAAGGGCCCGCATGGATAGGATCCAGGGCAGATATGGGGCTTCCTGGCCTGCCCATGCCATAGAGCAAGAGTGAGCTACCCATTCGGGTGTAGTAGCGCGAGGAAGGGAATAGACCTGTGTGTACAAAGTCTGAGGCCAGCATCGGGGAGCCTGGCCGGTGCATTCCATAGGCAGATAAAGGCAACTCAAGCCGGGCAGGGTACTTCGACAGTGGGGAAGGCCCACAATGAGCGGGATCTAAAGCAAGCGGGAAAGGGCACAGGTACGAAAAACCATAGGCGAGCAAGGGAGAGTCCGCTCAGCAGAAAGTTTGGAGAGAAGCAATTGGGCCCGAGTGCATGAGATCAAGCAGCAGCGAAAGCAGCTCCAGGCAGGTCATCCCATACAGCGGCAGGTCACCCCCCAATCGCGTCAGGCTACGCAGTGGGGTAGAGGAGCCAAGCATGAAGAGGTCCGGTGTAGGAGTGGGAGAACCAAGCCGCGTGACGCCGTAGGCCAGCGGTGCAGGCTCTGAGCAGACGGGCGCACGTAAGAAAGCGGAGAGGCCGGAATGCATAAGATCCAGTGTCAGTGCAGATGGCCCTGGCCTGGAGATGCCGTATGCGGGCGTGGCCGACTCAACCCGAAGGTGCGTCTTGGGAAGCAAAGCTGAGCCAGGGTTAATCAAGTCCAGTGTCGGCAACGGCGAGCCAAGACAAAGCAAGCCAAAGGCCAACGGAGTGCTGCCGAGCTGTGAGGAATGTTGCGACGGCA